TCACACTTCCCGCATCTGTCTAGTGCTCTTTTAGTCCTTTCGAGAAAGGAAGCTTGCCAACAGTGACAATAGAATGCGACTTATATGGATGGATGGGGAAGGGTTCCTGTGTTCTTCAATCACGCGTTTACTGAATGAAGAACAGAGGTGTAAAATGAAAATGAATTGAAGCACAAGGTGTGAAGAACTCGAGGCAGTACCGTTGCGTCATTCATAACTTCACACAACCATCAAATATTTACATCAAATGGCAGGCGTTTTGATAGTTACCATTAGTTCTTTAGTTGACTTCGGGCTTCACAGAGGGGAAGGAACATCAAAGTGAAAAGTCGAGGGGAGGGTGAGTGGAACAGAAGAGTGATTCAAAGATGTAAAAGAGTCTGACAAAAAGGTAGAAAAAAGTGAGGTGAGTACTGTGAAGTTAGTGGAATATGACTTACAGTGGGGTGATATTAGTTTGAAGTGAGAAGTCAACTGCCGGTTTATAGACTTTCTTGCCGTATGAGTATACCTTGGCCAGGGTGCACCACGAGGAGGTGAGTCTATCGCACACCCCAGCCTAAAATATGGTTTTCAAAGTGATGGGCAAAGGTTGAACTCGATGTCAAATTTCAAGGAAAAAGATTCGTTTTCGACTAAATTCCCTTGTGCACATTCTCTTCTACTAATCCAAATTAAGGTGATATCTGAAGAAATCGTCTGTCATCATTGGGCGATTTAGAGGGTTGCATAACGACACCGATCTCACTAACATGATGGGAAACTTGTAAGATGGTATTGCTATAGTCACCATGGTAATGTGGAAAGCTTTTCAAGTTTTAAGCTTAAAGGAGTATCCGAATAGACGAAGTAACACAGGAAGGATTGAAACGAGAATTCTAGAAGGAGTATATATTGTGATAGATTGTCAAACGAATTCTTCAACAATCGAAGTAGTAACATGCCTAATGTTTGATTATTTAGTCACTCTGATTCTGAGCTATTCCATGACACCGATGCTTGGAGGTCGTTGACCAAGTTACACAGTTGAATGTTCGCAGACCCTCCACCAGGCTAGTTCACCTTGGAGCCCACTGCAACGTGGATAGGTAATTCATATTTGTGTGCTTGATGGGGAACAGACATTGATATGTCTTCTGGAATTACTGCCAGTTCTGACATCGAAGCGGGAACGCAGGAAGGAAACTTTGGATCGGGGTAGGACCTCATCCATTTTTGTTGCCAAGGAGGAAGATAAGGAAATTGGGTGGTATCGAGGTCTGCGTGAGAAGCAGTGATATTCTCAGAAATCACGAGGTCATATTTTGCACTGACTTCGACGATTCTAATTGGTTGAAGCAAAGATAGACGAGTGATCTAGTTTGGTCTGAGTTGAAAGTGGGATAGGAGTTCTTGGAATTCCATTCTACTCCAATATCGCAATTTTCTCGTACACTTGATAATTGACGTCCATATCGTATGATTCGAGGGTGATCACTCATTCCTCAAATAGCTCAAGGCATGAGCCTTCTTGATTCACTGAGAACTGTTTATTTCTGCCTACTTTGTCTCTACCGACTGCAGTTCTCAGATGCCCAAATTGATTCTCCCACATCCAGGAAAGTTTATTCTTCCTCCAGGATGTGCCTTCTGATCGAGAGGTATGTGTGAGAGGAGGACCTTCCTTGCTGAAGCGTATATTTTTGTCCCACTTTTTGTTGTGAAGACAGCCTGCACAAATTTCTCTCCAGTCCAACCCATTTTCGTCCCCCCCCCCAGGCCGTTGCTGATTGATTGGATAGAAATTCATGTCCATCTTGTCCTGTGGGTGCCATGTGTGTCACCATTGTTGTGCCTCCTCCAGTATCGATCTGAAATGTCCGCTTGTGAAGGCTTCAACTTGCTCGAGTCGAAGAGAGTTTTAGATTAGTAGAAGAAAAATATTATCTTATACTCGAATTACCTAAGTCTAGACTTAAAAACAACCTGAGAGGATTGAAGATGAATTTGAAAAAGGGGTTGAAGAAGGGGTTGAAGAGAGGGTTGTGGGGGTTCGGTATCAAAGAGTATCTTTTCCAACAATTTCATTTGAGCTAAGAAGTGAACTTTTACAACTCTCATATTCCACACACCCTGTCAATCTAACGTCTTTCTTTGTCTGAAGGGAACAATATGCACAAAATAGAAAAGTCTCCCCCCTTCAATAGGCAACGTTTCTTCCTAAGGATTAATTACAACTTCGATAGACTAGTTTGCTTTCATCAAGCTCGACTCAAAAGCGTTGGACATATTTCCTTCCGTCCATCTTATTAATCTAATAGAATTAAGCACAATGAGTGGTTGCCATAGTTATATTCCCCATTCAAACAGCTAGAAAGTGCGCCCATTTGCTTGAAGTAAAAGAAGACTTTGTTGATGGCTTAAAATGCTTTTTTATATATTGATTTAATCTGAAATAGCGGACAGTTAATAAGCGAGAACAAGGTGTTTAGATGAATTGGCATTTCCATTAGTCAACTATTCTCCGATTGGTAGTTGCACCAACTATTCTTCCAATGGATTCATCACATGACCCGCAAATACTGGGAATTCATTGTCAGTGACAATGAAGAAGAGGAATGGATGATCGGCATTAATACAGGGCACAATTGACATTGGCATGATCGACATTCCTGTGGCTGCAGCTGCCTCGGCTCCCTCTTCATTCACCTACAATGCAATACATACCAATTCGATATTGCCAATTACCAATACCAATCAATTTGTGGATACTTGTGCAAGTATTAATGCCATTTGTAAGTAGTATTTATAAAGCGAAACTACGAGTTAAGAAGGCTTTCATTAGCACACACTAACCTCGATCATAGCTTTATGCACCATCGCTGAAACATAAAGCCTTTCCTTCGTTGTGATACGCTCGAATTTGGCTTTATTCTGATCAAACATAGATGCAGCTCCCATTCCTGAGACTGTTTCCTTCAAATCCATACCTTCTCCATTGGCTCCAAGCTTGAATTTGGGCAATATGAGGTCATATCTATCCTCATTATAATTTGAAGATTTGAAGAGGGCATCGAAGTGGTCACGATGATGAGTATCCAAAAGATGTTTCAACAAAGATGGCAGACCGTTATTATCGTTGGGCAAAACGATTAGCATATGGCAGCTGAAAATGCAACGAGAATGGCAAGAAATTAATACAACGTAGGGATACAAGCTAGTGTGGCCTTGACAACACCTTACGTTTTGAATGGAATTTTGACACAGGTAGCACTAATCTCATTGAATTCGTATGTCTCGTACACTCCATTGTCCTTCATCATTGGCACAGTAACCTCTTTTCCATCCAGTGTGTGGAAAGGTGCGTCGTGAGTTGCATCGCGGTGAAACACCTTCTCCCAAGTTCCTGCATCACAAAATTAGACTGCATAAGTGAAGTCATAAAATTACACCACAGATGAGAGACTACCTTTGAAGTATATGGCATTTGCCAAAACAAGTCGTGTGCTATTGTCAATTGAATCACTTGGCAGTAGTTCTTTAATCTTCTTTTCGGTTTCCTTTTCAACCCATTCATTAATGAGTTTCCTTGATTCCTCGTGGCTTGAAGCAAAATTCACCTGCTTTCCTTCAGCATTGAAGTATGATTGAACATCCTTCTTGAAGTTAGGGTCAACTTCGAATCCAGCATCCCAGAAAATTGCATTGGCCAGCTTAAGAGTGCCCAACTTGTCACCGGTCTTTATATCTGAAATTCTATCACCAAGGTCTTGTAGATGAGCGGTTTCGACATTGAGGATGCAGGCGATGTCGTGGTGAGTTTTCTCAGATGCTCCACACAGAGCCAAGGCAAGACTAGAGTAGATGCTCAATGGCGAAAAGAATAGATTTGCTTTTTCATCTAGGCAAAAGAATAGAACATGATTTCAAATGAAATTTTGTGTGAACGCAATAATAGGATGGTAAATACTTACGAGAAGGTTTCAAGCGTGCATACAGGTGCTGCACGAAAGGAATGAAAGATTCCGAAGCTAAAATTGATTCATAAGTAATGATTCATTTTACCGAATAATTTTTCTTTCGACATTATTGAGTATCTACGATTGTGGACGCAGAAATATCAAATTAATGGGTATTTATAGGCTTGGAATTTGTAAAATGCATTTAGTCATTACAAACAAGTAAAGGCTAATTCTAATTGCGAACAGAAGCACATACCTATTATTGAAAAACTCAGTAAAATTCCGCCTTTTTTCAATTTGGCATATTAAAAATAAAAGCATTTCCTACGTATTAGCAAAATTCAAAAAAGGAATTTAACAGTAATGACCTCAAAATTTGCAAATTTTCTAATGAATGGAAAATAACTTATTTCATTTATTAACTCAGAATGTCGCATCCATTTATATTTGCAGTCATAACAGCGACATGGATATCCTCTTTTGAATGCAAATTTTTATATTTTTTTGCTATATTCCAGCGAGATATTTTCCACTATTTGAATACGACATTGAGAGTGCTCTCAAATTTTAATCAATAATGCAGTTGAATATTCAGGGCATAAGTTAAAGATACAAATATTTCGTCACTTCGCATTTCCACCAATACCAATGTTACTGATTAAACCCATGGAAAACTTATAAACAATTGTATTACGTCAGATTTCAATCAATCGTTTTCACACCGCAAAGCATTCTGAGTTAATAAATGAAATAAGTTATTTTCCATTCATTAGAAAATTTGCAAATTTTGAGGTCATTACTGTTAAATTCCTTTTTTGAATTTTGCTAATACGTAGGAAATGCTTTTATTTTTAATATGCCAAATTGAAAAAAGGCGGAATTTTACTGAGTTTTTCAATAATAGGTATGTGCTTCTGTTCGCAATTAGAATTAGCCTTTACTTGTTTGTAATGACTAAATGCATTTTACAAATTCCAAGCCTATAAATACCCATTAATTTGATATTTCTGCGTCCACAATCGTAGATACTCAATAATGTCGAAAGAAAAATTATTCGGTAAAATGAATCATTACTTATGAATCAATTTTAGCTTCGGAATCTTTCATTCCTTTCGT